AAGTGCGACCTACGATATTTTAAAAATGTTAAGCTATTGCTTTTAATGACGTTTATATCTTGTCTAATACAAGTGGGGTATAGTAGGATACTCTTTATAGATGCGGTCACTTATGTTAGTGTGAGCTGGGTCGGCTCGTTGAGAATTCTTAAAGGCTGGAATTCTCTAAAGCACTCGCAGAACCCGAGGATATTCACGGCCAAAACGAACACAACCGAGAACTTGAACAAGTTCGTTTAGTATGTTGTTAAGTTTATTGTCTTGGTTTACACAAACAGCCGACGGTTCAAGATAAAATAATTCACCAATTGGCTAAGTGAATCCGATAAGCGTTAATTAGGGAAGATTCAAGATGAAATATTTCACCTATCCCGATGTTGTACTATTCACTAACGAAATTTGACAAATAGATCTTATGCGATAAGATTGGAAGAACAATTTTATTCATGTGGGGGATTGTTGGAATTTTGATGATTTCCAATAATTAATATTGAGTAATATTAATTAAATTATGAAAAGATTAATTTCATTTATTTACTTGATCATAATCATGAAGTAAAGTGAATGAAAATTGTCTTGAGTAAATGGTTAAAGTTCAAAAGATGTGCGCTCGTTGTGATCGAGTGATATGACTAGTTTGAATTTAGGCGTCCACAAATATTACTTTTGGGGACATTTAGTAGTTAGTCAAATTATTTGATCCAAAATTCAAATAATAAAATATTTGGCCCAAACCAAATCAATTAATTAATTATCCCATGACCAATTAATTTTCTTACGCTTGAACTCGGTGAAAAGAACAGACACAACTTTCTGTTTCTTCTTCCAACTATTGCAACCCTCTGTGAATGGATCTCTACCGCCTATAAATAAAGGCAAGGCAGAATATGGTCAATTATGTATTGAATTTAATCGGCAATTACGAGATAGTTCATCATATTCTTCTTTTCCTTCGTCAAAGTTTCGTTCATTGTTCAAATTCGATGTGGGTCGAATATTCGTGCATATATTTGACAACCGATCGTTGTACCGTGGGAGACTACCGGGAAGAGACTGTGCACCGTTGACAGCCCAGAAATACTGTCTCAAGGGAATTGCTTTGGCAAGTCTCGATGGTTCTTTGAGTTTTTCACAATTCCTCTTTTCGACAAACAAGTAAGTATTTGTTTTTACGCAGATTGTTATTAATTATACCAACACTAATTAGATGCTACACCTGATTATTTACCCTACTTTCCTTATCTATATTTCAATCATAGATTACATACAATCACACAACCTTATATATATATGTATAATGTGTTGTTATTTAATCAGATGTTAATATACATAATCAATTGTAGTTCTAACTTAAAAAAAAAAGAGTCGATAAATGATTTCGTATGTCGAGATCTATTCACTTGAAACTTGAAACCCATCACACGTTTGTGTTTTCGACTTTGTCGAGTAATACAAAGGAAAAGTACAAGTTAGAAATTAGAATGAACCGGCCCTCAAGTGATTCAAACCAATTACTTCAATTATTAAAAGGGCAAATGGCAAAAAGGCCCATCACATGGGACTTAAATGCATTTTGGTCCACAAAAAAAACAGTCTCTCAATTAAGCCCATCCCCATGTCCTTAGTCTAAATTACCCTCAATAATATAATTCTTATCAATTCCACCCATTATGATCTAACTTCCTTAATATTACACATTGACCACGGATTTAAACAAATATATCACATTAACTCCCAAAACTTTTTTTTTTCAGAAAATAATTTTTTTTTCTGAAATGTCCAGATTCCGGCTAGATTCCTGGCGTTGACCGCCGGAGACCGCCGGTCTCCGGCGTTGGCTTTTTTTTTTATTTTTTATTTTTTTAAACTTTTTTTTTCCTGAAATTTTTTCCGGTCGGTCAAACAGTAAAATTTCACATTATTTTTTTTTTTTTATTTTTTTTTTGAATTTTTTTTTTCTTAGAAGAAAAAAATATTTTAATTAATATTACTGTTTTAGCTACTAAATTACTGTCTCAGACAATAATATTTCTGTTTGGGACAGTAATATTATGAATATTATTTTTTCCGAACAGTAATATTATGAATATTATTTTTCCGATCAGTAATATTATTAATATTATTGTCTAAGACAGTTAAATTACTGTTGAAGACAGTAATTTAGCATCTAAGCCAGTACTATTAATTAAAATATTTTTTTTAAGAAAAAAAATGAAAAAAAAGCCAATTAACAGTTAAATAACTGCTGGAGACAGTAATTTAGCAAACGAATACAGTAATATTAATTAAAAATATTTTTTTTAAGAATAAAAAAGCCAATTAACAGTTAAATTACTGTCTCCGACAGTTAAATAACTGCTGGAGACAGTAATTTAACAAACGAATACAATAATATTAATTAAAAATATTTTTTTTAAGAATAAAAAAGTCAATTAACAGTTAAAATCACTGTTTCCAACAGTTAAATAACTGCTGGAGACAGTAATTTAGCAAACGAATATAGTAATATTAATTAAAATATTTTTGAAGAAAAAAAAAGTCAATTAACAGCTAAATTACTGTCCCCGGCAGTTAATTTAACTGCCGGAGGCAGTTAATTTAACTGCCGGAGACAGTAATTTAGCAGCCAAGACAGTAATATTAATTAAAAAAAAAATTAAGAAAAAACAAAATTATAAAAAAATAAAAAAAAAAGTCAACGCCGGAGACCGGCGGTCAACGCCGGAATCTGGCCGGAAAAAAAAAACATTTCAGAAAAATAAAGTATTTTCCGAAAAAAAAAATTGGGGGGTTAATTTGATATATTTGTTTAAATCCGGGGTCAATGTGTGATATTTAAGAAGTTAGAGCATAATGGGTGGAATTGATAAGAATTAGGGTTAAAATTGGGGTCAAAATTGAAATTAGGGTTAAAATTGGTTGATTGATGAAATTTGGCTAAATTGGGGTGTAAATCATGAAATTGAAGTTGAATTGGGTTTCAATGAATTGGGGGTAATTTTGGTATATATAAAGGGATTTTCCTTATTTGCAAATAAGTTTGAATGTGGTGGATTTATTTGAAAGACAAAAAAGTTGGATGTCCTTTTTTTAATTAAGTGCCCTTACCATGGGCCTATTTGCCATTACCCCTTATTAAAAAAAGTATTAAATAAATAAAACCAACTACTTTTTTTTTTTTCTCCACATTTTTTATTTAATTACTTGAGGTCATTACAAATAAGTCCATCAATGGGTACTTATTCATAAAGAGATCCAGACCAAAAAAACTCCTTTATAAATAAGTTCACACATGTTCCAGATTTCGTCAAAAGACTAAAATAGTCCCCTCATACTTTAATATGCTCCAATTTCATCCTTAATTTAATTTAACCTCAATTTGACCCAAATTTCACAAATTATTCAAGTTTGACCCAAAACTTTTTTTTTCAAAAATATTTTTTTTTGCCGCCGGTTTCCGGCGTTGACTTTTTGATTTTTTTTTTATCTTCCGAATTTTTTCGCCGGTTTCCGGCGTTGACTTTTTTGATTTTTTTTTCTTTCCGTAACATTTTTTTTCGTTTAAGTAGCAATATTGCTGTGATTGATAGTAATATTAACTATATTACTATTAAACACAGTAAAATTAACTAAACTATAGTTTAACACAGTAATATTGTTATATTAATCTCCAGCACAGTAATATTAACATAACAAAACTCACTATTATTGTGTAATATAGAATAATATTACTATGTTGACCGTTCAACAAATGTAAACATAATAAAAAGTCAAAAGAATTAATATTACTGTGAGTGACAGTAATATTACTGTTACAACAGTAATATTACTGTCAACCACAGTAAATTACAATAGTAGACAGTAATATTATTATGTTATTCCGTGAATAACTCAAACAAACAAAAAAATCCAAACAAAATAATAATATTGATATGGTTGACAGCAATATTACTATAACAACAGTAATATTACCGTCAACGAGAATAATATTATTGTGTTTACAGTAATACTACAATAATAGACAGTAATATTATTACGTTACTCCGTGAATAACTCAAACAAAACAAAAAACCCAAGAAATTATAATATTGATGTTGTTGACAGTAATATTATTGTGTTTACAGATTTTACTGTCAACGACAGTAATATAATTACGTTGACTTGTCAACAAATCAAAAAAAAAAATAACAAAAAAAAAATAATAATATTACGTTAATTTACTGTCAACGGCAAAACAATTACATAAATGTATTGTCAACGGCAGTACAATTACGTTAATTAATTGTCATTGACAGTATAATTACGTTAATTTACTATCAATAACAACACAATTACGGTAAGCGTTTAGTGGCGGACGTTAAAAAAAAAAAAACAAAACTTAAAAAAACTTAAGAAAACACTAAAAAAAAGTCAACGCCGGAGACCGGCGGTCAACGCTGGAATCCGGCGACGAAAAAAAAATACCAGAAAAAGAAAAAAAAAAAAGTCAATGCTGGAGACCGGCGTTGACCGCCGGTCAATTCCGGAAACAGGCCAAAAAATCCGGGAAAAAAAAAATCGAAAAGTCAACGCCGAAAACGGGCGCCAAAAATTTTTTTTTGAAAAAAAAAAAACAAAATTGGATTTTTGTTGACAAAATTAATTAAATTGGGGTTACAATTAAGAATTGAGTATAAAGGGTTGGCGGTAATATTGTCATATACATGAATGTTTCCTTTAGTTAAAATAAATATTAAAATGATGGACTTATTGGTGAAAGAAATGTAGCGTAAACCTAGAATAGTAAAAATCCTTGGTTGGGGACTTATGCACAAAAACTCCTAATTAATTTGGGGGTTTACTATTCATAGTGCGGTTTTTTCCAGCTACAGTGCGAAATAATTCATTTGTCAAAAAACACTTTAACCTTTTACAAAATTCTCTCAACCTCCAAATATTTCGACTTTTGTAGATCGTGATTTGTTTTCGTAGAAATCAGTTAAAACCCAACGATTATCAAGATGGCCAACATTGATCCCGTAAATGAGGTAAAAAATTACGTTTTAGTGTGATTTTTTTCGATTTTCAGTCGTTTCGTGTAGCATATCACGAAATAATTGAAGTCGTTTCGTAGTGGTTTGCACGAAATTAACACCTTATTCATGTTTTTCAGTCATTTCGTGTACAAAACTACGAAATTGTACCTCTTATTTCGTGTACAGTCACACGAAACAACAGTAAACTGTTTTGTTACTCATTTCGTGCAGTACTACACGAAATGTATGCATTAATTTCGTGTACTTTTACACGAAATACCTAGTATTTTTTTTATTTATTTTTTTTGTGTGCAAGTATCTAACCTTTTTTTTTGTATTTACGCAGCCATATGACGACAATTTGTATTTTGATCCCTCGGTTTTGGACCAAAATGAATATGAAGATTTCTCTCACTTCTTCCAAGTTGATATTGTGTTCGGTAGTAGGGAAGAATTAATCAACTGGGCGAAAGTAACTGCAGTTAGTCATTGTCACTGTTTGATTTGTCAGTCTAAAAGGGAGAATGCACAGTACATGACGTGTGACAAATACGGACATGGCCGACAAACGAATATCGATGTGGAAGATCCTAGAAACAAAGGAACAAAAAAATGTGGATGTCCGTTCAAATTGATTGGCAAAAAGTCAAGGTTTGATGAATTATGGCGGTTGACTGTCAGCGATGGCAGGCATAGTCATTGTCCGGCTTTGTTTCCTCACGGACAAGGTACGACTAGTCGTATAACTCCACAATAGAAAGCAAGAATTAAAGAATTGCGAAATTCTCACGCGAAGCCAATGCTAATCATGGATAGATATATTGAGGAAAGATGATCCGACGATACAAACCTCTATGAAGCATGTTTACAATGAGTTGGCCAAGATTAAATCTGAGAAAATGGAGGGCATGACTGTTATTCAGTTTATGATGCATAACTTTCAACAAGGCGAGTATCGATATTGGCATCGCGTCGATAGTGAAACGAGCAACACTATTACAGATATTATGTTTGCATGTCCCGAATCTATTAAGTTATTACGGTTGTTCCCGTATGTTATATTGATGGACTGCACATACAAAACCAATAAGTAAGTAAAAATTACGATTGTTTAAATTATGATTATTGTGTTTTAATGTCTTGTATTGTTTAAATATGTAAAAACAACATTGTTGTAGGTATGGAATGCCTCTTTAGGAAATAATTGGGATAACTCCAGTTGGGAGGAATTTTACAATTGCTGTTGCATTTATGTCACATGAAGATGCAGACCCCTACGAATTGTTTGAAAGAGTTGCTAGATGGTGTCGAACCTGATGCGATCTTGACAGACAGAGAGTTGGGTCTTTTGAAAGCACTGCCAAATGTCTTCCCATTTTCGTATCATATGTTGTGTATATTCCATATAAACAGAAATGTTGAGGCAAATGCGACGAAATTTATGGGAGGCAAGAAAGACCAAGGTCTAATATTCCGACGTGTGCTGTGGGCTAAGCTGGTGAAATCAGAAACCGAAGAAGAGTATCATTACAATTACAATGAAACTGTTGGACGGTATGCAGGGTATCCTAGGCTGATACAGTATTTGAATGATACGTGGTTGATATACAAGGAGAAGTTTGTTCGAGCCTATACTCGCAATGTGTATCATTTTGGCAACACGAGCACCAACATGTATTACATGTTTTAGTTATTTAAATGATAAAATATATTATATAAAAATAATATTTATTTTGTAATTTGATTGTTGTTGTAATTGGATAGGGTGGAGAGTGCTCATTCTTCAGCGAATGGTTGGTTAAATGCTTCGACCGGAGGTATGGATAACGTGCAAGGTAAACTTCGGGACCAAGTTTATATCCAAATTAGTCAGCTGAAGTGCGATTTTTCATTATCATCCAAGATAAGGAAGCATACTGCAGCATGGCCGTGTTTTCAGGGTTTGATTTGTTATGTTACGCATCTGGCATTAGAGAAGTTGGATCAAGAGATGGAGTCCCCGGCGATGCAAGATCCGAGTATTTGCACACACTATCTTTGGAATACTCATGGGCTCCCATGCACGTGCAAAATTGTGCAGAAAATGGAAGATAATGACATGTTCGTCATTTTAGACTTGCATCCAATCTGGAGTATCATGGCAGTTGAGCCTTCGGAGCTACCTGAGTATCAAGTAGACCCCGAGGAGATTGTGGATAGACAGATTGATGACCTGAATTGCAATTTGAAGAAGATGAATTACACGAGTAAGATAAATGCCGTGGCCTCATTGCGTGGCATCGTTTATCCGTCTACGTCGCATCTGTCCGAGCCATCATTTGTTAAGACCAAAGGACGACCAAAGAATAACTCGACAAAGAGAGACCCTTCTGGATGGCAATATCATATTGATGAGGAGACAATTAAGTCGTCTTGTGGTTCCAAGGGTCGCCAAACCTCATCTGTTGCAAAGATTCCTAAAGCAAAGGTTGAGAGAAGCACTGATGGAACGCCTCAATCGAAGATGAAAGGTCGTGGTTCTCGTATTCCCACACAAGAATCTGCTGCCCCTACAATACCTGCACATGAAGGAATCGACTTTTATTCTTTCGTGCCCAGATTTATGGTCCGTCTTATTAAAGATTATGTTAACGTGATGGCGGATGGCAACTGTGGGTACCAGTGCGTTGCTCAAGCCGTGTACGGGGACCAAGAAAGATGGCCGCAAGTGAGAGGGGAGTTGCTTATTGAGTTATACGAGCATGCTAGTGTGTACACGGCGATGTTTGGCAGTACCGGATCTGTTGAGGTCATACGCACGTGTGACTGAACCTCAGGGCCTTGTCCACAAGCTTATTGGATGGACATGAATGAAATGGGATTGGCCATTGCTACCAGATACAGTGCATTAGTGGTACTTTTGACTCAAGTAGGGAGTATGACTTACCTTCCTATGTTTGGCAGTGGTCACTTATCATGTATGATTGTTGTGACATTGCACAACAATCATTTCATGTTTGTTAATTTGGTCGCGAATAGTCCACTACCACCAATCCATCCGGCATGGGTACACCATAGAGCTAAAAACTTGAGGCACTTACTCAAAACGTAAAAACCCCGACTACTCTTGTACGAACAATTAAAGTCTGGTCGGTAGTTCAATTTGTAGTTGTATATGAAATCTAGTTGAATTTGTATTTGTATTTGAAATTTAGATCAATTTGTAGTTGTATTTGAATTCTAGTTCAATTTGTAGTTGTATTTGAATTCTAGTTCAATTTGTATTTGAATTTGAATTTTTAGGCCAATTTTGTATTTGAAATTTAGATCAATTTATAGTTGTATTTGAATTCTAGTTCAATTTATATTTGTATTTGAATTTTTAGGTCAATTTGAGTGTCAGAAATAAATTGGTTAATTAAAAAATAAATCAATTAGTGATTTCGTACTGAATTTCACGAAATGTTACCTCATATTTCGTGGAAAAATCTACGAAATATGGTCTTCCATTTCGTAGAAAACTCCACGAAATATGATGTCACGTTTCGTGTACGTTTACACGAAATACACGAATTTTTTCAATCTAACAGTTTCGTCCTTCGTGTTCTATAACAATAAACACTTATATTTCGTGTGAAAAGACACGAAATTATTGAGTGGATTTCGTGTAATAATACACGAAATAGCGGGCAAATTTGGTTTTTTTTTAGAAAAATTACAAATGAAATAAATCGCACTGCAAGCCGGTAAAAACCGCACTATGAATAGCATTTCAATTAATTTGGATATATACTAAAAAGATTCCATTTGCATTAAAAAAAAAAAAAAAAAAAAAACTCGAAAGATGGTAAAGAGGCTGTTCTTTCTGCATCAACCGAATCTAAATAACGACCAATACAAGAAAAATATGAACACCAACTGCAGCCCACACATAGATATAATAAACATATTATCAGATATCATATTCCTCCAATAATCACCAGCCACGTCACTGTGAAACTTGTTAAGTGTATATTTTTACACTTTATCGTATCTTTTTATTTGAGCTTTTGGTGTGTTTTAACGATAATTGGTGCTTAAAAAGTTGATTTATTGTATTTTAGGTACAAATTGAAGAATTGGAAAAGTATGGGGTCAAAACTGCAATTTTGGAGAAAATATGGGCCAAAAGTGAAAAAAGCAGAATTCTGGAGAATAGACCGCGCGGCCGTGCGGATTTTAGGCATAAATCTCACACGGCCGTCCGGATGGGCGAGTTGGCGCAGTGAGGGAATCTTAATTGTACAAGGAAACTGCCTTCTTCCCCAAGTTTTTCACCCTATATAAGACCAAGCCAAGCACACAATTAGGGATCCATCTTTTTACGCAATTTGGAGAGCAACAAACCAATAACGAAGACGAAGAATTCGAAGACTCTAAGCATAGATTTATCGTCTATGATTTATTTTATTTGTGTTTTTCCTTTAATCATGAGTAGCTAATTTTCTTAATTCTAGGATTTTATTTGGAACCCTATGTGGGATTTATGAACCCAATTCTATGATTTTATGCAAGTTTTAATTCCGGATTATTTCTTCTACTTGTTTTATTAAGTGCATGAACTTGATCAACTTATGTGCTTTTATGTTATTGTTAATCGCATGAATCGGAAGATCGGGTTAATAATTAGAACTGTGGTAGAAGAGCCTTTGTGGTATTAACATAGGAATATAGTTAATCTCTTAGGTAGCCATTATTGAGATTTGTGCTTAATGCTGTGTTCTAGAATTAATTGCATAGGAATATAGTAATTGAATCTAGAATATTAGAATTGTAATACACGCGGAAGCGGGTTATGATTATTTTAGCATCTCAGGTTAATAATCCGGGTTAATTGCTTGTATAATTGAAGGAATTGGGGAAATAATAATCACATAGGGGGAAGAATAAAATCCTAGGCTTGTCTACTTTGATTAATCTTCGTTTTTAAATTGCTTTCGTGTTCTTGTCTTTTTAATTTGCTTTTTAATTTATTTTAATTTAGTTAATTATCTCTAAATTCGACTGTGTAGGGTGGGCTTGATAATAATTGCTAGAATTTAGCGTCTAGGATTAAGTAATTAAATATTCCCTGTGGGTTCGATATCCGGACTTAATTGTCCACTATATTACTTGTACGACACGTGCACTTGCGTGTAGGTTTTCGACCAACAAGTTTTTGGCGCCGCTGCCGGGGAATATTTTAATTATTTATTTTATTCTAGCTCTAGATTTGAACAATTTTCACGATTCACCCATTTAATTTTTGTTTTATTTTATTTTTGTTTTAGGTACGGTGTATGCCTAGGAGACTCGATCTTGCTAGAGAGCCGTTTGATCCCGAAATCGAACGCACTTTTCGAGCCGCTAGGAGACGTCAACACGCAACCAATACAATGGAGGACGAAGAACGCATACACGCAGAGGGTAATTTACTCAATGCCAACGGGAACCAAGTCCAAGACCCACCCCTTCAACTTCCATTACAGCCAGCAGCTAGGCCACGGGCACTTCAAGATTACATAATCCCGACTCATGACGGATTCCGGCCGAGCATCCAATATCCACCTATTGAGGCGCACAATTTTGAGATCAAGCAAGGCCTTTTGACGATGCTCCAAAATAACGGGCTATTTAGTGGGTTGGCAGGTGAAGATCCCCATCTTCACATTGTCAATTTTCTAGATACCTGTAATTCCCACCGTCAAAACGGCGTTTCCCAAGAGGCGCTTCAATTAATTCTCTTCAAGCACTCCCTACAAGGAAGAGCTCGCCAGTGGTTGATGTCCCAAGCCCCCCACTCTATCTCGTCGTGGCCTCAACTCCTCAACCTTTTCATGAAAGTCTATAGCTCACCCGAGAAGGACGAGAGAATCCGACGAGAAATTCACAATTTTGTCCAAGAGCAAGGCGAACAATTATACGAAGCATGGGAGAGATTTAAAACTCTTTTGCGGCAGTGTCCAACACATGGAGTCGAACAATGGCGGCAAATCCACATCTTCTACCAAGGGATCAACGAGAATGCACGAACCGTTTTAGATGCATCAACCGGGGGAAATTTTATGAGTCAATCGATACCGGATGCTTTCATCATGTTGGATCAAATTGCTCAAAATCGGTTTGCCAAGTCAAGCGAAAGAACGGTGAGTGGAGCCAAGAAAGTTCCCGGAGTGTTGGAGTTAGATGCAATTACGGCCCTTCAAGCTCAAGTGACCCAAATTGCTCAACAAAATCAACTCCTTCTGCAGCACATCAAAGCAAGTCCACCACAACAAGTCAAAGCAATTGAATCTCCATGTTGTGAAATTTGCAGTGGAAATCACTACACGCTCCAATGCCAACAAGATGTGGAGTCGCTCAACTACGTCAACAATGCGCCTCGCCAATTCCAAAATCAAGGGTGGAGATCACAAGGGCAATATGGAGGAAATCAACAAGGCCAAGGATATCAAAGACCTCAAGGTCAATTCCAAAATCAAGCCCCTCCTCAACAAAGCTATCAAGGCAACAATCCACCGGCCCAAAAATCAAACACGGATGAGATATTGGCCCAATTCATGACCGCTACCCAAGCCTCGTTGCGAAATTTGGAGAATCAACTCGCTCAATTAGCTTTGAAGCAAGAGAACCGCCCGCCGGGAGCATTGCCATCGAATACGGAAGATCCTCGAAATCAAAAGTTCGAGACGTGCCAAGCTATCGATGTCAAGAGCGAAAAAAGGGAAGAAATTCAAATCAAGCCGCAAGTCACTGTAGCCGAATGGGTCAAGCCGATCCCATATCCACAAAGATTGCTAACGAAAAAGATCGAGGTCGAGACATGCCAAGCAGTCACCTTGAAGAACGGTAAGCAATTGGAGGAAGCCCCACGAAAAGAGAAGAGAAGCACGGTAATCGAGAAGCCGAAAAAGAATGAGGAAAAAGAATCATCTCATGACGAGCCACCATCGACGGTGCCTTCACAAGTCCCTCCAATTCCTTATCCTCAAAAGTTTATAAAGAAGAAGCTCGATGCCGAATATCAAAGATTTTTGGACAAGTTGAAGGAAATTCGAATAAATATTCCTTTCATTGAAGCACTTCAAAAGATGCCAAAGTGGGTGAAGTTCCTCAAGGACCTCGTGAAGAAAAGTAAGAAATTGCAAGGGAACGAGATGATCCAACTCACGGAGCAAATTAGTGCAATTCTTACTCGGCCTCTTCCACAAAAACTCGGCGATCCAGGTAAGTTTACTATTCCTTGTACTATAGGAGGTAAAAATTTTAGATCGCTCATTGATTTAGGCGCTAGCATTAATCTTATGCCGTACTCTACTTTTAAAAATCTTGGGTTAGGAGAAATTGAACCGACGGCTATAACTCTTCAATTAGCCGATAGATCTTTAGTTTACCCAAAAGGTATTTTAGAGAATGTGCTAGTGAAAGTCAATAAATTTATCTTCCCTGTCGATTTTGTTATACTAGATATAGATGAGGATAGGGAGATACCTCTTATCGTAGGGAGACCGTTTTTAGCCACGTCGAAAACGCTAATTGATTGTGCTAGTGGTGATCTTACAATGACTGTGCATGATCAAACAATCAAATTTAATGTTTTTAGTGCTAATAAAAATCCATGTGATAATAATGATTGTTTTGCTATTGAGCTTATGGATTTTACAACTCATGAAAAATTTGATGTTTTGAACTTGGACAATGGGAAAGTATCTTTGAGTGCAGGGGATGATGGCAGAAACGGGAATCGGACGGAGCAAGTTTACTTCATGGACTCACTTTCAACTCCCCCGAGAGAAAATCATACGAGTTTTAGTCTTAACGGCGATGAGAGTGCAAAGAAGGTGCTGCCACCCGAAGATTCGAGCAAGTCACGAGAGAAGGATGAGTCAAGCTATTGTGGTCGCAAGGAGAAAATCAAAAAGAAATTGCACAAAGGACAATTGGTGTTATTGTGCAAATCCCGTCTTTGGTTATTTCCAAGGAAGCGCAAATCAAAGTGGTCGCGGCCGTGTATTGTCCAAGAAATTCTTCCTCACGAGGTGGTCAAAATAAAGGAGCGCGATTCAAATCGTACGTTCAACGTAAAACGGAGCCGGCTCAAACCGTATTGGGAAGCGAGTGAAGATTGCCAAGTGACTTCGGTCACTTTTGCTTGAAATTAAAGAAGCAACGTCCGGCTGAAGACTTTAAACTTAGCGCTTCTCGGGAGGCAACCCGAGCTTTATTGTTTTTCGTATTTTCATTTAATTTTTCGTTTCGTTTTTAATATCATAAGCATGCATTCTAATTTATTATTTGAATTTTATTTTTCAGGGTCGAAAAAGTGATAAATAAGAAGTTTCAGGGGCACTAATCAGAAGTTTGTAATTTTCAGGGGCCCAATTGCAATTATTCACACGGCCGTGCAAGAAAAGGGCGTAAAACTCACACGGCCGTGTGAGATTTCGGGAAGCTACTGTATAAAATCGTGAAATGGCACGGCCGTGCGAAAAAGACCTGGAATTTCACACGGCCGTCCGAATTTTGGAGCAGCATCTGCCCAATTTCGAGAAACGGTGCGGCCGTCCCAGAACTAGGCCAAAATACGGGACGGCCGTCCCATGGGCAGCAGTGAAGCAGAACGCTCGGACGGCCGTCCGAGAAAGAGGGCAAAACGCGGGACGGCCGTCCGAGGCTATTACTGGTCGTTTTAAATTCTAAAAATTCGATTTTGCCCCCATTTCTTCCTAATCCCTTCTCTTTCATCCTCACAACCTCCCACACACAATTTTCGAATGGAGGCTAGAGCATCGAGCCAACTTCTTCAAAATCTCATCTTTCAAGGCACGCCCGAGTGCATCGAGCCGGCATCCGCCGGCACCCATTCTTGAGCCCGTGTCCGAGCCGCCGATGAAGATGAGCGTGAGAGAGCGAGGGAGGAGCACCCCGATCACATCGACCCCGACTAAATCAGGTGTTTTCTATCCTTAAACTTTGTGCTAATTTCGTTGAGGGCAACGAAAATTATAAGTTTGGGGGTGAAAAACATGTTATTTTTGTGAAAAAGCATGCATTAGGTTTTATTCGTTTTTATTGTTTTTCTCGTTTTTCCGGAATTTAAAAAAAAAAAAAAAAAAAAAAAAAAAAAAAAAAAAAAAAAAATTTTGCTTGAGTTGAATGCATCGATGATTTGTGATGATGAGAGATGATCAATGTTTGATGATGAAATTGCTTGTTTTATGTGATAAGGATTTAATGTTTGTTTAGCTTTCGATTCAACGGGACTTAAAAGCGAATTATTGCTAGGAATCACATTTTGTGCATTGATTTGGTTGAATGTTTTGTATTTTAAATTTGGAATTAATTTGTGCTATATCATGCTATGTTCGGTTTTAAGACTCACCTTAGGAAATTTATGATACGAAGTATTGAGTAGTAAGTGATTTGGGATATGATTTGGGCCTTCTTTGAACCGTTTGAGCCTTTCAAGCCGACCTTTTTATCGAAATTATCCTTAGAACCTTGATTTGAGCCTCGGAGAAAAGGTGTTCTTTCTTTTAGCCAATGTGTAAGGTAGAATAGGTGGAGATTCTTGAAAATTACCCCTTGGAAGTTCAGTCGAAATTTTTCTTAAGGTCCTTCTTCTTCTTCGAAAAAAAAAAAAAAAAAAAAAAAAAAAAAAAAAAAAAAAAAAAAAAAAAGCCAAATATCTATGCTTCTATATAAATATATATTTAAAAAAAAAAAAAAAAAAAAAAAAAAAAAAAAAAAAAAGAAGAAGAAGAAGAGACTAGAAGGGAGAAATAAGGACTAGTTGTTGAATTATTTTTGAAAACTCGATCCATGGCCTCAAAAGCAAAAGTGGAGACTTTTGAACTTTTGAGAATCGAGTTTATTAAAGTCCGTAGAGGTGAATTCATTGTTTCAAACGCTTATCTTTCAAATTTTGGCGTAATCACCTAAATTCAAGAAGAATAGCCACACATACCCATATTTCCTACCTCGAACCAAAGAGCCTAACAATTGAAAGCCACAAAGCCCCAATGATCCCAATAGCTTAATGTTCGATATTAGTGGAGTAGAATAATTTGGTGAGTATTTGGAGTCAAGCATATGCATGTAAGTATAAATTTTCTCTATTTTTAACTTGCAAATATTGGATACTTGAAGCAATTGTATGATTTGTGGTTTTTGGTAATGGTGAGTGACTAAGTGTTGTTGAATTTTGAGCTTGCGAATGCCTAAGACTTGTCATTATAATTACAAGTTCTGAAAACGTGAAGTTGATCATTGATCTATGTGATGAGATGTTATCGTTGAGTTATTTGCTTATTGGTAGATTTTTGCTTGAGGACAAGCAAAAGTTCAAGTTTGGGGGTGTGTTAAGTGTATATTTTTACACTTTATCGTATCTTTTTATTTGAGCTTTTGGTGTGTTTTAACGATAATTGGTGCTTAAAAAGTTGATTTATTGTATTTTAGGTACAAATTGAAGAATTGGAAAAGTATGGGGTCAAAACTGCAATTTTGGAGAAAATATGGGCCAAAAGTGAAAAAAGCAGAATTCTGGAGAATAGACCGCGCGGCCGTGCGGATTTTAGGCATAAATCTCACACGGCCGTCCGGATGGGCGAGTTGGCGCAGTGAGGGAATCTTAATTGTACAAGGAAACTGCCTTCTTCCCCAAGTTTTTCACCCTATATAAGACCAAGCCAAGCACACAATTAGGGATCCATCTTTTTACGCAATTTGGAGAGCAACAAACCAATAACGAAGACGAAGAATTCGAAGACTCTAAGCATAGATTTATCGTCTATGATTTATTTTATTTGTGTTTTTCCTTTAATCATGAGTAGCTAATTTTCTTAATTCTAGGATTTTATTTGGAACCCTATGTGGGATTTATGAACCCAATTCTATGATTTTATGCAAGTTTTAATTCCGGATTATTTCTTCTACTTGTTTTATTAAGTGCATGAACTTGATCAACTTATGTGCTTTTATGTTATTGTTAATCGCATGAATCGGAAGATCGGGTTAATAATTAGAACTGTGGTAGAAGAGCCTTTGTGGTATTAACATAGGAATATAGTTAATCTCTTAGGTAGCCATTATTGAGATTTGTGCTTAATGTTGTGTTCTAGAATTAATTGCATAGGAATATAGTAATTGAATCTAGAATATTAGAATTGTAATACACGCGGAAGCGGGTTATGATTATTTTAGCATCTCAGGTTAATAATCCGGGTTAATTGCTTGTATAATTGAAGGAATTGGGGAAATAATAATCACATAGGGGGAAGAATAAAATCCTAGGCTTGTCTACTTTGATTAATCTTCGTTTTTAAATTGCTTTCGTGTTCTTGTCTTTTTAATTTGCTTTTTAATTTATTTTAATTTAGTTAATTATCTCTAAATTCGACTGTGTAGGGTGGGCTTGATAATAATTGCTAGAATTTAGCGTCTAGGATTAAGTAATTAAATATTCCCTGTGGGTTCGATATCCGGACTTAATTGTCCACTATATTACTTGTACGACACGTGCACTTGCGTGTAGGTTTTCGACCAACAAAACTCGCGCACAAACTTACGGTACCGGACTAGGTTCGTATTGCGAGTTTCGGATGATGGGAGTTTGAATACAGGGATTGTGTACGGATGCCGGGAGCGGATGTTTCGGACAAGATGAAAAATTAAGGCGGCTATAATTAGGGATTGTGTACGGATGCCGGGTGTTCGAACCGGTGGCGAAGGAGTTCGAGAAGCAGGTTGGCCGGAGAAATTACAACAGAGCCCTCGAAGTTGAGAATCAGTTGGGATTAAAGCCCTGTTTCAATGTCTCCGGCGAGGATTCAGTAAGCTTACCACAACTGTCCTTCCATTTCAAAGGGGTGCAGAAATGGTTCTGCCATTGGCAATTTATGATGGTGGAGAACGCAATGATGTATGTTTTAATCGTTAATTTTAGCTTATGGGTCGGTTTTTTTGTTGGGAAAAAAAAGTTGCAGATACCAAAAACCGGTATTTCAGACCGATTTTTGTTACAAAAACCGGTAACCACATGCCAACTTTTGAAACAAAAATCGGAATACCTATTTTTTTGGACAAAATCGGTGCTGGCATGCCGATTTATAAGAAACATTGTGATGAGGGCATATCATCCTCTTTGATCTTGATGTATAAAAATTAGATTAATTTATGGTCTTGAACTAAGGAACTCTTTTATATGTGTTTGAACATAGAAAAATTTGAGTTTGCATATATCTGTCGCCTATTTACATTTATGTAGATTTTAACCATAAATCTATATATAATCAAATACATCCATGTGATATACGCTTAATGGATAGTTATTAAATCAAATGTACAGTTAAAATTCATTCGATGTAAAAAAATAGAAGTAACATCTAACTTCCAAAAATGAAAAAGATAAATGAAAGAAATGATTTCATAAGTGGAGGTGGATTCACTTGAAACCTGTCACACATTTGTGATTGACTTTGTGGAGTTATATAAAACCAATTACTTCAATTATAAAAAAAAGTATTAAATAAATAAAACCAATTACTTCAATTTTTTCTCTCCATATTTATTTTATTACTTTGGATAAATTATATAAAATTCCATTTGCATAAAAAAAAAAAAACTGGAAAGATGGTAAAGAGGCTGTTCTTTCTGCATCAACCGAATCTAAATAACGTCCAATACAAGAAAAATATGAACACCAACTGCAGCCCACACATGGATATAATAAACATATTATCAGATATCATATTCCTCCAATAATCACCAGCCACGTCACTGTGAAACTCGCGCACAAACTTACGGTACCGGACTAGATTCTCTCCACTGCTACGCAGGTACACAATAACCCGGAGCACCTCCGCTCTCACTTCTTCAATCTCAGCCGTCGATTCCATCTCCCCCATACCACGAACGCACGACATCAGATTTTCCTTAGCCACGGAGATCCTCTTCATAATCTCAAACCTTTGCTCCATACTCAGCCTCCCCACAAACGGGTCGACCCGCATAGTATCCAGAACCTCCCGGATCTGACCCGACCGGTGTCGCAGTGAAACGGAGCAGTTGTTGAAGCTGCTGCTGGTTGTTGTCGTCGTCAACGAGGAAGTGATGTTCTGAAGCTGTACGGCAGCTGCTTGGAGGGAGAGAATAAAAACCCGGTTCGGGTCGGTTACGGCGGGTTCGGGTAGGTCCGAATAATTAGTTCCTGAACACGACGTCATATTGCAAGGGTGGAATGATTGGAGTTGGGATACAGGGAGTAAGTGGATTGTGTACGGATCAGACTGCTGGGAGCGGATGTTTCGGACAAGATGAAAAATTAAGGCGGTTATGATTAGGGTTAGAGTGATGAAAAAGGCAGTGGATACGAGGATTATGGTTTTGTTTCTTGCCCGAAATTTCGATAACTTTTCATGGTGATTCTCTTCTCCGTGGAGGAGACTGGTGTTTTTATCGGCGGATAATTTCATTGCAATTTGGAATGAAGCTAGAGAGAGAAAGAGAGGAGAGAGAGAGAGAGAGAATGGAATGAGTGGAGAAGACAATTATATACATTCAGTCAACTCATCACGTTGACTGTCTGTGTATATGAGATTGAAGAAAATATCATTCAAGATGGAGATGGAGATGGAGAATGGGGTCTCTAAGAAATTTCGTCGATGGAGTAGGTTTAGGTATCAACTTATTTTTATTTATTAAAACAAATAAATTAAATTTTTTGTTTTTTTATGACTAAAAATAGAATTGTTTTTAGAAAATAATAATGTCTTGCATCAAGTTGAAACAATGCTGTTGATTGTGTCTCCTGTGTTGACTGTATGTATATAATTTAGGGAAAACTACAGTTTGCACCCTTGAACTGTGGGGTCTGTCACAAATACCCTCCTGAACTACAAAACGTAACAAAATGGCACCCCGTTTTGAATCTGTTAGTGGATGATGACGTGGCATGTTGACTTTTATGGTTTTGTAGCAGTTTTATGACCGTTGTTTTTGTTTTTACGCTTTTGCCCCCAAGACTGGTACATGTAGTTGTATGGGATCTGAAATACACTTTCCAACAATATGGGGACGTAAAATATTATGTAAAGCCCAAATTTTATTTTCTTCATCCAAAACCACCACCACCCGCACTCGTCTTTCACCATCAAAAACCACTCCACAACCCAGATATCATCACCACCTAAAATACATTGGCACACACCTACGCCGCCGTAGTCCGCCGTCGGATCCCCGCACAGCCCCTTATGCATATTGTGCCACCCAAGTTTTCACTGTCAATCGCGCAACGATCCCACTATATATCGAAACAGTACCGCCGAAAAAAAAATTAGCACACACCTCACACCGCTGTAGTCCGACGGATCCCCGCATAAATCCACCGATTTCACAGCCCAAAAATAGGGGTTTGGTGGTAGAAAGAGTGTTGAGTTGTGGGTGTTCTTGAATTTTGTGTTAATTTGCCAAAAAATAAAGTAAAGTTATAAAATAGGATATGAAGTTATAATTTTTTGAAACCCAACATACTTCATATCCCAAAATTTTATTTCATTCAAAAAATAATTTTATTTTATTTCTATAATTCTATAGAACAAAATTATAGAAATAAAATAAAATTATTTTTTGAATAAAATATAATTTTGTTCTATAGAATTCTTCCTTCTTTAGCCCGGAAATATTCTTCGTAGAATATTTTCTTCCGTATTCGATTCGAGAGTTTGAGACACAAAGTAACGTTCGTTGTACTCGGGATTTTGAGTGCTCATATGCCGAGTTAGCCATTGTATCTTGGGAGATACTTGCCAAATAACCGTAAGCACCGTAGCGGGACAATATTGTCTTAAGGAAAGAGTTTTCTCGCCTCGGCTAATCTTTTCGTATTTCGACTAATTTATTTGATCATTTTACTAAATCACTACCCGTTTTATGTATCGGGAACAACAAATACAAAAACGCCCTTGTACTATGGACTTTGTATCATATACCCCCTTACACATAAATACAAACCCCCCCCCCCCCCCCCCCCATGTTTTCATTGAATCCCCAAAACAAAATTATGTTTATTACACTTCTCAAATAATTTTCTCAAAACAATCTCAAAAGTTTCTCTCTCCTTCAGACATGGTGTGACTGGTACAGTAAAATGATTTGACTGCTATAGTAAAAAATGTATTCACTAAAAAAACACATAATATCACTTAATCTTTCAATTTTATTCATTTAAATTACATTTTTCTAACACTTTTAAACATGATGTGACTGGTACAGTGTATTTTGTCTCCTTCCAAAATATAAACAAACATTACTTTCATTCTCAAGTTCTTCTCCCAAAACATATTTTCTCAAAATGAAATCAAAATAAGTTCCAAAATGCTTCCAAACATTGCCTTAGATTTTTTTTTTCTAAATAAAACCTTTTATTTTGTCATTTTGAATTTCTTCATTAATTTCCTAAATGTCTTCCGGTAGTTCAAATTCTCAGCAATAATAGGGTTGTAATTAAAGATGTTTGTAATCTTAGGATGTTTGAACTACCGGAAGACATTTAAGAAAAAAAACATGAAGAAACTCAAAATGACAAAAATAAAAGGTTTTATTTAGACAAATATAAAAAATATATAAGCAATTAAATGTTTTGGAGAAAAAATCAGCTAAATACCAAAAAAAATCCCATGTAAAATTAACTGAAAATGGTAAAATATATAGAGGAAAATACCCCCACATATATATATATACATATATATATATATATATATATATATATATATATATATATATATATATATATATATATATATATATATATATATATGCTTGAGTATGGGTATTTTTGTCATATTTAAAAAAAATATAATGTGAGGGGGTTTTTGTATTTATGTGTAGTAAAGGGGAGTATATGATACAAAGTTCATAGTACAGGGGTGTTTTTGTATTTAACCTTATTTTTTTTTGGTTAAATAAACTTAACTTTCATTTTGGTTACAAGTTTTTATAGATGACCCTATTATACTTTTAAATATGGTTCGCTGGAGTGGAATATGAGTGGTGCCCTCCGTTCCGGAAACTATAACCAAACCGTTCAACAACGAAAAACGTTTCCAAACGAGCACAAAACTGCCGGAACACCAGGACGTGGCAATAAATCGGATGGTCGCGACTGTCACGGTACCGGAATATATGGCATGGAGCGGGATTGGAACGACATGAATCATCGTAATTTACTTCTTCAGGTCTCCAACGACGATTGAAGGATCTCAAACTATAGTTTTAACTTTTAATTAGAAGTTTCAAAAGTTTACAATTAGCTCCAACACTTTAAATGTAGTTTGAGGGCTAAGGAACGGATGAGTAGCTTTTTTAAGTTTTTAAAATTTACAATTTAGTCCTAAATGTTTTTTTTATTTCTCTTAAAGTAAAGAAATAATTTCATAACTTATATTTTCTTCCTTAATTCTACTTCTTAAGGTTTTAAAATTGTTCTAAAATTAAAATTAAAATTTTAATGATAGTTTGTATATTATTCTACTGTAAAATTAATACTAAAAACGTATTTGACATTAATTCTAATTTTTTGCATTTAATTATTATTTGTTCGTTCCGGCCGCGACGCAGCCGCAGCGTTGCAATGGAACTGGAATGGCGGTGTCCGCGACAATCGACCGCAACGTTCCGGCGAACCATGCTGTTAATGTCAGCACATAACCTCTCGTGGTTGATGGGGTAGCTTCCGTTGGTTTTTCTGTCAAACTTAACCGTCAGTATCAAATGTTAAAGCAATATTTTTGCAGATGACCCCCTTAAATTTGACATACACTCTTAAGTTTGACAGAAAACTAACGAAAACTACCCCATAAACCACACGGGGGTTATATGCTAATATTACGAACACATAGGAATCATCCGCAAAAACTTGTAATCACAGACAGTATAAATGATGTTTAAACTTTTTTTTTTCCAAGAACAATGTAAACTTAACCGGAAGAAAACGACAACTTTACCTTCTTTTTAATTGTAGAATAGAATGTATCAGATTGATCGGATTTATATACTAGAATAATATATATTTAGTTTTTAATAAGATGTAATGTTAAAAATTCAAATCATAAATAGTATTCGAAAGAAAAACATAATAAATATTTCTTTTCTTTAAAAAAAAGTCGAGCCAAATACACTAAATTAAAAAAAAAATTAAATATATATATATATATATATATATATATATATATATATATATATATATATATATATATATATATATATATATATATTAAAACCAACTAACAACAAATTATTTTGGGCGAACATGGCCTTAACTCCTTGCCCGACTTGTGTTCCGCCGGTGGTCCTACCTTTGTTTCTGGTCTTATCTTTGAGGTGAATAAGATTTTGAAAAGTACCTACAAAACAATTTTGTTTCAAAAAAATCGAGAATCATGAATTAAAAATAAAAATAAAATATAAGCCAAATAAATTTACTGGCGAATGCATTTAAAAATAATAATAATGAGTGTAGGTTTACCCAGTACCGCTATACAATTGGCTGCAGGTTTGTTAATTACCCAAAATAAAATAAAATAAATCCGACCCCTTATAAAACTTCAAAAATAACTGTTACTCCATCAACCGAATCTGAATAACGTCCAATACAAGAAAAATATGAACAACAACTGCAGCCCACAAATACATATAATAAACATATGATCAGAAACCATATTCCTCCAATCAACAACCGCCACGTCACGGTAACGCTGGTGCATGTCCTCATAGTATCGGCCAGCAAACTCTCTACTGCTACTCAGGTACACCATAACCCGGAGCACCTTCGCTCTCGCTTCACTCACAGCCGTCGATTCCACGTCATCCAGCAAATAGTCAACGCACGGATTCAGATCGTCCTCAGCCAAGCCGATCCCCTCCACGATCGCAACCCTTTGCCCGAAACTCCGCTTCTCCACAAACGGGTCGCCCCGAACCGTCGCCAACACATACCGGATCTGATCCGACCCGAACCGAAGCGAGTCGGAGCAGTTCTTGTCGGTGGTGACGGTGATGTTTTGGAGCTGCTCGGCGGCGGCTTGGAGGGAGAGGATGAAAATCTGGTTCGGGTCGGTTATTATGGAACGGGTACGGGTTGTGTTGTTTATGATGGGGTTGAAAGCCTCCCGGCACGCCGGCGTATTGCAAATGGCGGCTTCGTAGAATGCCCGGACGGCTGGGTTGAGCCGGGTTAAGTGGCCCGATTCGGAATCCACGTGGCGGACGAGGTTGAAGATTAGGGCGGATATGGTTAGGGTTAGGGAGACGGAGAAAGTTGCGAAGACGAGGATTAGGATGTTGTTTCGTCTGCGGAATTTCGACAAGTTGGCGTCGTCGTCTTCTTCGGACGGAGTTTTTGTTGTGTTGTTGTTATTAATGGCGGAGTTCATTGCAGCCAAGAATTAGAGAGAGAAACTAATTGTAGAGAGAGAATGTAATTAATTAAGGAGAGGAGGGATCATAGTTATCTCACATTGACTCTCATTAATGAATTATGAGATTGAGAAAAATAAAATGAAAAATCATGGTTCAATATGGAGGTGGATCTCAACGAAGTTCTCTTGTGGCATAATTAAATATGATACAATTATACATTATTATTCGACACTTGTTTTTTCTCGAATAATAATGGATTATTTAATCATCGAAATGCTTGGAATTAGTATTAATTTATGAGTTTAGATTATCTCTAAGTTAATAATTACTTGAACTCCTTAATATAAATTTAAATTAGTTTAATTGAATACTATATTTTTGACTTATATTTTTGACTAAGCTTATAAGATGTTTAAGAGCATATAAGTTCTTCCAAATTGTTTGATA